CTGTGTAGTACATGCCTGGAGTCGTGGGGCTTTATTCTCGACTGAACCGCAAATGCGAGTTGAGTTGTTGTTTGATGTGTTGTCTAGCTCTCCTGCCACGCGTGTCTTTCTCCGGCCCGGGGTTCTCTGGTTTTCCTCCCTCCGTAAAAGTCAACAAAGGAGTTGAGTACTCATTACCATGAAAGTTCTTCGGTTCTCCTCCCTCCGTAAAATAGTGAATGTAGTGGTAGTGCTTGTGGAGGGAACCTCATGGAATAGTCCCTTACGGGGAGTGATGGTCGTCAAGTGAAAATGAACTTAGTTCATATACCGCGAGGATCAGCTCAATTTGATGAACTTAGTTAATCTCTTATCCGTCATCTCTTGTGCTGTGATTGTTTTTTTTTAACTGGTTTAATAACTTACTGTACTTAACCTTACCCTCCAGAGCTTTCRAGTATCGGTTCAGACAACTCCGGGATGATTCAAGCCTTAAAAGACAAAAGCGTTGAAGGGCTTTTGATCGACAAACACTATGTTGTTAGTGACCAAAAGATCATCAAAGAAGACAGCACCATCGAGATTGGCAAGATAATTGACTTCAAGCTTACATGGGGCTTAAAACTTCTTATGCCCAAACAGGAGATGTGTACCGTTGTCAAAGAATGTATCGAAAGTTTTGCGAATGAGCTTTCATTCCAGAACGAAGCAGCTGAGGTAGGTCACGTGCCTATATGGTCGTATTTAAAGGGGGAGGTGAAGGGCGCGTCCCATCCCTTTTTGGTTTTGGATTCATTTGGAATATACCCAGAACGCAAAAAATTTGATAATTGGAAAATTTTTTCTTGGGAGCACGCACTAGACTAGAATCTTCTCTTGTTTTATTTTGCATAATTAGAACTGAGATTTGTCTTACGCTAAACATTGCTGGCCTCTTCTTTTTCAGATCCCTGAATCCACCCCTCCCTCCCCGATAAAAATTATAAATAATCCATTCTTTTTTTGGTCTAGTTATTGTCAAGCACAGCCATATCCAAAGACGATGAAACGGGCGGMGGTAGCTTGTTCGAGGACTACGAGTTCTTCATTATTTTGATAGTGCTGTTYGCTGTGATGACTGCAGCAGGGGTTCTCTGGGAGTACATATACTATAACCCAAGGATTATCAAACAGAATCAAATCGACGACGAAGGTTGGTTTCTATTGAGCGYTTTCAAGTGACGTCATAGCKGCCATGTTGTTGAACCAAAACAATACATTTTTGGGAATTKAGCTCTAATCAAATAATAGAAACTTTCTGCACAGTTTTTGAGTAGAAATAGATCKATTTCTATTCAAAAACTGTGCAGAAAGTTTCTATAATTTGGTACATCAATATAGCTGACTTCTCACAAAACACTCTATTGCATGATTCTGTGTAATATTTTCTAAACTGATATAAAATCTGGGCGTACARCTCACATAGAATAGTTAGGCTTTATAAAAAGGCGCCTGCGAGGACAGAAACTTTCGTTTATATAATTATGATCTTGGGGTGCAACAGGMCATGTGACTYAAAATCCCTTGAAATAAGAATAACAATGAAACAGCTGCCATGTTGGTAGATGTAACAAGAGAAGTTCATCAGCGATGCTTTGTTATCGTCGACCAAGATGGCGGCTATGACGTAACATGCACCCCACGAATACCCCCATATAACATTCATGAATGTGAGACCAGAGGGAAAACTARTCAAACCAACAAAGCTGTCGGGCGCGAGATAAAGGTCATAATCATAATCGGTAATACGGCTATGATACACCTATTGTGTTTAGCATTGACATACATTTAAGTTTCCTAAAGAATTATTTTCTACCATTGAATTTTAGAAGCGAGAGAAATGGAAGCAAAAAAGGCCTTGAAGTACATCATCACAAATCTTGAGGTCGAAGAACTATGCSAGAATTGCAACTGCAAAGTTGAATCCATCTATAAAAAGGAAGGTGTTGAAAGACTTGAGCGACTGAGAAACCAGAACACATCAGGCTGTGAGATGACAAAAGACATGGAATCTAAAAAAGACGATGATGAGAAAAACGGCAATGCTATCACTAAGAGGCTGAAAAAAGTAGTAGCTCTATGAAGGTAAAACTGGAAAACGAACGAACGAACGAACAAACACAAAACTACCAACCAACCAACTAACCAACCAACCAACCAACCAACCCACCCACCAACCCACCAACCCACCAACACCAATCAACCAACAAAGTTCGTGTTCGTGGTTCGAGTGCTCTAACTGTAAATACTACTGACTATAAAAATCATACATTTAGTCACGCTGTTGAATAGTTAGATAAATTTATTTAAAATTAATATTTACATAACAATTTAGGTGACGTCATCTAAAATAGTAAATGCGTTACAGTTGTTGTATCGTTAGCCAAGACTAAAATAGTCCATAATAACTTATTAGGCTACGTCAACTTTTCAATTGACGAAATTCTTTCTAAGTACTGATAAATGTGGATTTTTGATTTAAAAAATCTTTACTTTGGTCTATTTTTCAGGCAGCACAGAACAACAGGAAAATCGTAAAGCATTTAAGATACAAGCCATCATGGAAACAAGAGCAAGCTCCCCCCCTTCAAAAAAAACACATTCGCAAACGAGCAGCGCCTCTCTCCTCGTAAATTAAATATCACGTCAAAAAGCATTATGAACTGAAAGCATAAAATGAATCGGCGTCAAGCAGCATGGGCGTAAAAAACACTCAGTATCGGGTTAAAAAGTGCATCAGTTGYGAACTGGAAACAAAAATAGATCAAACCGATCCCAGCTATGCTCGAGTGTCCACCCAAACAATGGGTAGTTTCCTCAATGGAATACAGAATATCCGACCAAGAAATTCAAATTCATAAGATTTTTTAGAAGTTATCGATTTTTTCTCAATGTACCTTGAGAATGGATTGGTTCTAAGACAGGCATTTACGATTTTCAACAATCGGTGTCTGTTCCATGCAGTTTATTCTCAAAACACATTTTAGCTTGTCCGACATAGCCACTTTGGAATCATCAAGCTGGGCTCAGAGAAACACTTTCAAGTAGTTTTCGATACAAAACTCAATAGAATCAGTGGCAGATCCAAGGGAGGGGTGAAGGGGGTGCACAACCCTCCCTGGTTCGACTTTGTGCCCCTATACTTCGAAGATAACCAATACAAAATACTTTTTTCCCCTTTGATTCTAATGGGTGCACCCCTCCCTGGGTTAACTTTGTGCGCAGCACCCCTCCCTGAACTAATTCCTGGATCCGGCCCTGAGAATTCCTATGAAGTAGCAAACGAAGTACGCCTCTATTATGTAGAAGTATAGTACATTTGATATCATGCTTTAAAAGAATGCATTAAAAAATGCAAGATGGCAAAGCCAAGCTTTGGGAAGCACTCCCAAGTCTTTGCACCCTAACAGCTAGTACAGACAGGCAAAATTTTTTAAATTAATGAATTCCACATTTCTTTATCATCGGAATTTTAGCTAATTTGTAGCTACGTTTTCAACCTTGAGACGTAAATAATGTCAGTAGTGTACAGAAGAAAATATGCCAGAAAAAAGTGCAGACAGATTTTAGGAAAATTCCATGTTGTTTTGACCTTTCGCAGATTGTGATTGACATCACCTATAGCGCAATTCGTGCGTTGGTATGCTACATGCAACATAACTTTCACCAACCTTTTGAGAAATAGCTGATCACCAACAGGATCTCCTTTAATCAGTTTTCTTTGTATGTTGTAAATAAACTGACCTCTATCAGAAAATAAAAAGGTTCCGCTCTGCAATAGTTTTCGTTTGCTGACTGAGCGCGCAATTAGTGCGGAGGGGATAGGAGGGCCAGGTAAATTTGATACAGGGACTCCAAGAGGTTCAGATACTGAATACATTAGAGGTGAGGTCATTATTTGCAAAACAAATAATGATAAACACATCGCGAAAAGGAGAGTCTGGAATGGGAAAAAGTTTACGTAGYGAAGCCTTGGGCTACCTGTGCTAATCTTGCGAGCTCAAAGGCCCTTGGGAACGAAGATATTCAACATGGCGGACGAACAAGCTGTGAACGTCGAAGCTGTTTTWAAAAAATCACAGTTTAAGACCATTAATGTCTCGAAAGAAGTAGACCCGGAGTTAGATATGGGTAATCTGTTATTGAATGACTTACAGCCAGTCAACATGGAACTCTAYAGGTAAGCTGTGCTTCGAATTTCTCGTAACACGTGCTTGGAAAAGTCATGTTGTTGTAAAATATCACAAACATACACGTGAGAAATTAGTTTTATTGAAGCCTTTTAACGCTATCTTAACTTGATTCAGGTTTCTAACTACAATCTAAAGTGTTTTAAAAGCAAAAAAATGAACCTAGATATCATGTGCAATGACATTAAGCGTTATTCAATTCTGATCTGTTACATATTTAGAACGTTAATGCTGTACGGGTTTAGTGAACATATTCTTAAATTAATAATAATATTCAATAATAAAAATTAATATTCTTAGAAGTTTTTTTTTGGTCTCGTTCTTATTATAGGAAAAATAAGGAAGACTTCCTTACAAATCTTGCCAGAGACAACACTCAACTTCTTTTCAATGAAATATGGAAGGTAGTTAACAAATATTTATCATTAGCGATACAAGCACAAGCATATGCTTGATGCACATGTTACAGTACGTCATAGCCTCCATGTTGGTTGATTTTGTGYTTTGTTATTATCATSCAACRTGGTGGTATCTTGAGGKATTTTACGTCATGTGATTGCACCTCAAGGCTTGTGATCCTCATGCATTGAGCCTATTTTCACGAAAAGAAATCTTTTACTTGTGTATCTTGTTAAAACAAGGCTAAATACAATATGCCATTTTTTGATAATTTCAGCTTGAGGTAGAACGATATGAAGACACCATATTGGCAAAGGTAAAGATATTATTTCAAATGCTAATGAGGAACTCACTTTTAAAAATAACCAATCAGGAGAGAGCAGAATCAGTAGCATAGCCATGTTTTTTCATTCCTAAGAATCTTTCATAACATAAAAATAACCAATAAGGAGAGAGCAGAATCAGTAGCATAGCCATGTTTTTTCATTCCCAAGAATCGTTCATAACATCCAAGTTGTTTGTCAGATATTCATATCAGATCTTGGTTTTGCTCTCGATTCGCTCAGTTGGCTTGTTATATTTTCATGTACATTATATTAGGTCAACTTTAATTAATTTGTAAGGCTGCATACAGCTGTAACTTTAACTCCATATGGCCCTTTATCATATGACAGCCAGGTTGGCTGGAAATATAAATTTCCCTGTAAGGCTTTCAGGATGAGGTCAACACTACGCATGGTTAAGTGAACCATTTTATTCTAATGAGAATAAACAAGGAGGCCTGTGATAAAGGTCCAGTTTTTGTGAAAGATCCATATTTAAAGCTCTACTTAACTAGCAACATTATATTGATTTTTAAAATACTTTTCTTGTAGCTTCCTGGACCAACCACAATAATCCCTAGAGAAAAACCAGTAAGTATCATTTAACAGTATAGCTATACTGTATATTACATGTAAATTATAGAAAAGGAATAATAATTGTAGTGAAGGTAGTGTATGTTGTTGAGGGGGCGGGGGGTTTGGAGGAGGAGGAAGGAGGTTAGAGACTTTGACCAAACAGATAGTATCCCAGTGACTGCAATATATCATGAATAAAGTGTGATGTGTTTTTATATTTACTTTTATTAGTGTTGCTTTTAGATGATCCAAAAAAAGGAAGGATCTCTCCCATTTATCTCTTTTCAAAACAAAAATGATGAATAAATTTATTGTAAATATACTGCAATATACAATCATGAAATTTGCTTTTAAAAGTAAGATTACAAATTATAATATCCTTTTATTTTCAGATACCAAAGCCTAAACCATTGACCAGATGGGAGAAGTTTGCAAAGGAAAAAGTAAGAATTTAATAGCATTCTTAGATTATTTTAATTTGACTGGTTGAAACTTGCTTAGTTATTAGAGACCTTTGGATACAAGAACTAGTACAAGTATGAGTTTTTAACTTCTAAAGATTGGCACTATCCTATCATAGTGTTTGGTACTGTAGGTAGATTGAAAATTTAGAGAGCAAAAATTGGAAATCAACTACAATTTATTCAGTGTTAACCACATATACAGGACCAATTTAAAAACCTATCATCAGTTCTAAAAATAATGTCACTATTGAAAGACATAAAATACAAATAAAATAATCATGGGTTCAACTTTCACAAATTGCAATGATAAATGAAAACATGAAAACATTTCATCATTTTGTCATAACATTGTTTGGTACACACAGGTTGTCTTCAATTTTCATTTCATTTTCTTTCACAGGGAATCCAAAAAACAAAGCGGGACAGAAAAATATGGGATGAAGCAAAACAGGTAGGTGTAATAAGGCTAAAAAGAATGGCCGTCATTCGCTAGTCATGATTATAAAACAAATCAGTTTTGGCTCATTTAGTCATGTCTCGAAAAGGATGTGTTGCAAATTGAAGACGTAAGCAAGCTGTTGGAAAGGTTGAGCTGGTATTTTATAGTCAGCGATCCTAAGATAGAGCATRCGCTCTTACAACCTGGTCCGAGATTCTGGCTTCCAGCCAGTAGGGTTCCCCAGAGCCTACAATTTGGCTAATGAGTAGGGTCTGGAAACGAGAATGAGTATCCAGGAAATTGATAAATTGATGGAAATGTTTCTTAAAAGCCCAGATATTGTTTTGAATATCCTTACACAAATCCTGTCATTTCTACTTTTTTATTTAATCTGATATCTATTTATAAATTTAGAAATGGCTTCCCAGATACGGATATAAGAGAACAAATGATGAAACACAAGACTGGGTTATTGAAGTTCCTAAGAATGCAGGTTAGTATTGCTACCCCAACAGGTGGCTTATTTTCAACTTCAAAGATTGATGACAGTGTGGTATAGCAGTAGTGTGCTTGCCTCTTGATCACCTCTTGGGGTCATGGGTTTCATTCCTATACTCTCCATCACATGTGAGTAGAGTTTGTTAGGTCTCTCACTCCTTTCAAGGGTTTTTATCCTTTAATTCTCTGTTTTCTTCCCTTTGCAAATCCTAATAATGCTAAATTGCAATTAGATCTGTGAGTTAGCCGTGCCCTGAATTTGACCAGCCCAGAGGTTGTTTTAGGTTTCAATCTGTGAGTTAGCTGTGCCCTGACTTAGATCAGACCAGAGGCTGCTTCAGGGTTCTATCTGTGAGTTAGCCGTGCCCTGACTTAGATCAGCCCAGAGGTTGTTTCAGGGTTTGATCTGTGAGTTAGCCATGTCCTGACTTTGATCAGCCCAGTGGTGGTTTCAGGGTTCGATCTGTGGCCATGATCTAGTACAAAAACTGTACTTTGATCAGCCCAAAGGTTGTTCAGGGTTTAATAAAATTTAAATTTGATGAAACTCCTCCAAAGAGGAAAATAAAATCAAGTTTTCCAGTATTGAAATGATTTGATGGATGATTTTCCCCCATCTTAATAACTCAGATCCATATGAAGACCAGTTTGATTTTTCCCATCTTATGTCTTAGATCCATACGAAGACCAGTTTGAAAAGCGTATCCARAAAAAGAAGGAAAATGTTAGCAAAAATGAATATCAAAGATTGAGGAACATCGCTAAACACAAGAGTGTAAAGAGTAAGTTGAATAAAAACTCCGTAGGTTTTAATTGATTTGAAATTTGAAAGAAAATCAATACATGTATGTAAACAGAGGGGTTTTACTATTTGTTTTTCATTTTAATTTAGTTCCTGACAAGAACCTTCTGCCATCCACGAAGGCATCAAAAGATCAAGTATGTTCTCTTATTTAACACACACACATGATCGTATGAAAAGCGAGTGCAGAAAAAAATGACCTGAGGATCTTGCTACTCTCATAAACACAGTTTTTGGACCAACCAGAGTGCATGTCATACACCTATAAATGTTGTTATCTTCAAAGGTGACAGGGGAATGTTCCTTGCACCCACATGGAAATGGTTTTGTTGAATACAAACAACATTGAATCAGTCTCAACACTAAGGTCCATGTTCTTGATGAGAATAAGAAGTAGAAACACAAGCCATTCCAGCTATTCTTGGATCTTGGAATGACCTATCTGTCCTATCGCTTCTTGCCAATCTCCTATTACTTTTCGCCTTTGGCGATGACAACATTAATTTTTTGAAATAGGTTTACATCTAATTATTTATTTCATCAAGTGTTTTACAATGTCAGTTTTAAGAATCACTCTCATGAACTAGTTTGTTTGAGCACAGCCAATGATAATCGAAATTACACATTAAATATCTTATCGTTTTATTYATTGTTTAGCTTCAAGCAAACATAAATGCTTCAAGGAAAGCTACTGCATCTGTGGGAAAATTTACTGAAAAACTTGTAAGTGTAGAAAATGATAGTAATCGTCGTCCATGCTTTTGCATGTTGTACAATGATATCCAATAGTATTATTAACCATGGACCAGCTACAGTTGTGGGCTACTATGAATGCTTCATTCTGATTGGCTGCATACTGGCGTATAAATATATATGTAAGTGACAGTCTACTAGCAGAGAAAAGCAAGTATTGCCACTGTTTGCATCATTACACACTGATCAATGAGATAAAAGTTATTTTTTTTACTCAGAATTTAATATTTACCAAAGAGTGCAAGAACAGCATTATCCTGTACCCTCTCCCTTAAACCACATTGAATAATTCTGAAACTTTAAATTCAAAGTGCTTGAAAAGCCTTTGAAAGAAAATGAATACCAGTTTTGGAAATACCATTGAGTATTCTACTAGCACTTGAATTTCAATTAAATACCTTAAATAATTCTAAAATTAGTTAAAATTCTAAGTACTTATCAAAAAACTTTATGAATAGKGTTATAAAATTATGAAATGTTAATAGAACCCCTTTAGAGCCTTTCTKGCACCAAATGTGAAGAATAATTTTGAAACTTTGAATTCAAAGTGCTTTAAAAGCCACTAAAAATGAGTAACCTTGAAAATGTTCTTGATTACATCACTTAAAACAGTTATATCTTGAATAAATGTTAGTGTAAATTGCCAGTCAGGGGAGACTATGATAACTTGAGAATAAGAGATATAGCTTCAAAATTATTTACCACAGAATGAAACATCTGGGTGGGCAGCTGCTTTGGTTAAGTAACATTAGCATAATGGTCTTATAGAACATGGTGTTTGGGTGACTGAAGCAAAAGTTATTTTTCATGTTTAAATTTTTTGATCCATTTTGTTCTCAGCCAAAAGAAAAAGTCGCAAAGAATYCAGAAGGAAGGAAAAGAAAGGTATTCAAATGTGTTTTCTTTTCTTTTTGTTTCTGTTTTTCTTTGTACCTTTGTTGTTTAATCTCTAGTTCTTGTTTTCTCTCATCCTTTCACATTTCTGTCCATCCATCCTTTTCCTCGTTTCATCAATACATTCTTTCCCTGTTTTCATCCATACATTTCTTCTTACACTCCTTCCATCCATCTATTTCCATCTATCCATTTCTTWTTTGTTCTTTTGTTATTTCTCTTGTTTCCTCTCATCCTTCCACTTATCAGTCCTTTTCTTTCTCCCATCCAWCTATCCATCCATCTCTTCCCTYCCTCCTTCCATCCATTAATCTCTTCCTTCTTTCCTTCCATTTATCCACTAATCCATCCCACCCTTCCTTTCTTCTTTTCTGCAATCTCAAATATTCAARTTATTATAGTCCATAAAACAAACACACCTTTTTTTTTTCAGTTTGAAAAAGTTGYTGGTGATTTTTCAAATGAAAAAACCAGGAGCCTGGAAGTTGTGAATAAAATATTCAAAAAAGAACCAACATTGGACATGAACAAGGTATTGTAGCATGAACTGCTGCCTTAAATACACAGCTAAAGTACACTGTATTGAAGAAAGGAAAAAAACTTTAAAATATCTTCAAAATTTGTTGTTGCCCTGAAACAGCTTCTGGGCTGATGAAAGTCAGGCCATGGCTAAGGCAGAAGTGGAATTGGTTTTTGCTTGTTAAGTTTTTTTAGAGGGAGGAAAACTGGAGAACCAGAAAAAATCCCTCAAAGCACAGGAAAGACCTAACAAACTTTTTATCTCCTTACATGTGATGTCAATGTCAAGTCAAGGAATCGAACCTGGAACTCCAGAGCTGAGAAACAATTGCACCCCCCCCCCCCACACCAAAAAAAAATTAAAAAGACTTTCAAATTTTATCAACCCTGACACCCTGACACCACCTCCGGGCTGTCGAGTTCTCTCAGTTGTCTTTCCAATATATCAGAGGAGATTTATTCCCTAACTTAACAACTTCATTTTGTATTTTACTCAGGCTGTTAGCAAACATATCACCAACACACAGAAAAGGTAAGACAAACATACTAAGGATCCCAATTATTAAGAGCTTATCTACTTTCATTCTCTCTCTTCCCATGCCCTGCTTCTTCAACTCAGTACTCAGGGTACCCAAAAGTACCCGGTAGTTAAGAAAGAATGGATAGATGAATGAAGAATGAATGAATGTATGGATAAACGGATGAAGATGAAATAAATAAATTATTGAATGAAATAGTGAGGAAGCAAACAGACAAATAGCCTGTGTAGCCAGGCGTTCCTTGTAGCAAGCCTCCCCAAAACCCACAAGGAATGCCTGGCTACACAGGCTAACAAACAAATGAATGGGGGGAAAAACAAAGACAAGGAAGAATGAATGGACGAAAGAATGAACGGATGAAGATTGAATTAATGAAAAACTGAATAATATAATGAGYGGGAAATAAAAACTAACGAATGAACGATTGAATAAATGAACATAAAAGAAATAATGAAAAGTTTAAATTAATGATCTGTTGAATTGAAATACCATTTAAAACTACAGATAATTAAATAATATAAAYATAATAATATAAATCTTTAGTGTGTTTCTGTTTCAAAAACCTAATCTTCTTTCCCATAGTGCTTCTGAAAGAAACAAAAAGGGCGGCCAGAATAAAAAGAAAGGAARGAAAGGATCAAGCATAAAACCCTCCCCTTCAAAGCAGGGTAGACAGGCGGCTGCTAAAAGTGGCAAAAAAGGAAGAAAAAAATAAAGTCGAGAATATTGGAAGTTAGATTTTCATAAATGAATGGAAACAAAAATGTTTATTTTGAAAATTGGAGCGGAATACTTACATTAAAACAAAATTTAAGGACTGTTTAGTGTTGTTTTTACATGGGCTGAGTTGAATAGAGTCGAACATCTTGGTATCGGAAACACCTCTCATACAGACAACTTTGGTGCCTATTRCTCTTTTCCACTTATAAAGAAACTTCTATAATATGGAGACCTCAAGGGCACGTTATTGATCGCACTTGCTCTAGCTTATTTAACCATTAAAAGGACGCATTCATGATACGTACACTTTTTGGTTACGGACACTATTGGTAGCACCTGTTTTTCCCCAGTCGTTAACAGACCTTAATAATACGGACACCTCTGTTACGGACACTTAAGCGTATCATCACTCTATAATCCCRTATAAGCTACTATTGTATTATTTTCAAATTCTCTTTCCTGTCCAAATTAAAAATTAGTTTGGATCGTTTCCATTCGCATTCTTTCRAGGAAAAGCTATRACTCATGGAATCAGTCTAGTATAGTTTGGGACAGTGGCGRATCCAGTGAAGGGGGTACGCACTTCTTCCTGGTTCGACTTTGTGCTCCTACTTCGAAGATTTAACCAATACAAAATAATGTTTTTTCCCCTTTGATTCTAACTATGTGCGCTGCACCCCTCCCTGAACAAATTCAATGCCCCTGTGGGATGATATAATTAATCTGCAATAGTATTACATGTCTGTCCAATTTGGAAATAATTGAATTCAAAAAATCCCTCGACTGCCAWATTGGACTCGGCCTATCGGCCTTTTCCAATTTTTTCAGTTCTCGGAATTTTTTTCATCCAATTATTTCAAATTGGACAGCTTGTAGTCCTATTACCTATACTTATTGGTTGCACCTGTCCTTATTTAGCCACTAACAGACAGACCTTTAATAATACGGACACCCCTAATACGGTCACTTGGGTACTTCGGTGCCCGGACCAGAAAGGTTCATTACTTATAAAAAACGAAAAGTAACAAAATTCAAAATAATAAGATTTTTTGATTTTGTAATATTTTTATGGCAGTGCACCATATCATGGTTGCTTTTTGTGTGCTAAAAGTGATTGCAAACAATAKACCTAATTCGTTGCGTTACGATGTTTTCCCATTTCAGACCACGTGTCATTCCCAAGACAATAATATTCTTTGTTTTGTATCCATATTCATGTGTCTTCTCATGTGTCTTCTCATGTGTCTTCTCATGTGTCTTCTCATGTGAAGCCGAGTGCAACCGTTAAACAAAGAAATGACATTCTTGGGAATGACACGTGGTCTGAAGTGGGAAGACATTGTAACGCAACGAATTAGGTCTATAGTTGATAATCAAAAAGATAACGAGGCCAACCCTGATTGTGTTCATGGTTCTTCGACGGCTGTTCATTTAACGAAATCATGMGTAAAATTTCTTCATACTTGTTTTTAGCTTCAGACTAACTGAATCAAATTCTAACTGCTTCGTTCTGTCAGTTAAGTCCTCATTTGCACTCATCAGTTAGCCTACATTTTTATCAGTCATTTCGGTTAGACAGTTTCAATGGCTTTCAAGGTTTTCTTTCAATTTTTTCTTTTTCCTTTTTTTCTCTCTTTATGTCCCACTCATGTTGCTGTCTATAGGGCAGGATATGAATGTCCTGAACTGAATTAAATGTATTATATTTTCTTTCCTATCAGTTTTTTTTATTTCTTTTATCATTGTACCTAYCCCACAAAGCAGGATGCACTTTAATTTTGATTCTTCAAACCTTTTATTTTAGCACGAGAAATAATCTTACACCAAAAACCGTCCAAAAACTACCCACAAAGTTTAAAATCAAAGTACAAAGGGAGAATTCTTAAGAATAATTTAAGGRAAAAGCTTAATTTCTTTCTGTTATTCATATTTTGCCTGAATTTTTAAATATTATCTTTTACTCCAAATTACAAAGCACAGAAAAAATAACAATATGCCGGTCATGACTGGTATACAATGATAAAGCAACAACAATATATCCTTCTTGGTTTTGTGCTTATACAGTCGAGTTTTATTGTCCATCTCACGGCGTCCTGTCAGGTGTTTCATAATTCAAATCCAGCACTGAAAGCGAAAAATCTAACTTCCCGGTTAACATCATCYGAGAAATAAACTTTCGTTTGCATCAAAGTCCCCAAAGACCAGAATTCCAAGGTAAGATACCCCAGCAGTTTTGTCATATTATTATTTTCTTTYAAATTTTATAATTTCACTGAGAAGCAACTGTACGGCATCTGGATGGTTCTCATTCACGTTTCGTCCTTTTTTGCATTTTTTATTATAAATGCAGTACTGTAGTTAAATTTTTCATTTCTGCTACACTTTTTGATCTGATTCACAAGTTTAATCTTCTTCGCACCACGACTGAAGCGTCCAACTCAGTAGGATATAACTGACAACTTGTCAAAACACAGTTGACATAGTCGACGAAGAACTATTGCATGGGCGGAGTCGTCCAGTATTTTTATTGGTTATAGGGAGTTAAGTGTACTGGAAAAAGTTTGGGTTTTGATTTTTTTGAAAAGATATTCAGCTGCTAGATGAATGGTGCTTAGTTTCTACACCTAATTTAATTAAGCACGAGGTCGCAAGCAAATTTAGAGATATAAATTAATCATTTCAAGTGTCGGGTTGAAGAGTGTATATCCGTACAGCGTGACAATCTCTCTTGTCCGGAGCGCAGTCCAATGCTTTTGAAATCGCTGTTTTTATAAATGTACTTCTACATTATTTTGCCTCCGAATCCGTTAAATAGATATAGGGTGGTTTAGTAACTGGAAATTACCGTGCAATTCTGGCCAAAATACCAGCATTGTAAATTTAATATTAAAGTAATAAATATTTCAAAATATTACGGAATTCCGCTTTTTTCCCTGGGGACGGAACGGTCCACCCCTTTTTAAGCCTGGTTTTAAGATTTGATCGCTTGCGACGGGATCGGTGTTGAAGTCGGAGTTGGAAGCAGCTAGATAACGCGTCGGAAGCGAAGTCTTTGCTTGGCTTGTGCTGACGTACTAAGACAAGCGGCCGGCCGGGGTTTCGCTTGCGTGAGCTGTTTCCGATTCCGACGACTCTGATTCCGCGGAATGGAGTAACAGGTTCTCGCCCACCCCTTCCCCCTTCGCGGATTCAAGTACCTGCCACATGCACAGAAAGATCTAGAGTATCCAAAAGAAATGCAAATAATGGGAGGTGTCTATTATTGATTTGGTTAAGGTTGCGACGGCGTCTCTGTCAAGCATGACTTGCTAGAAGACCTAAGGGGATTTCAACTTTCCTGTGTGGTCGGTAAGAAAAAAGTCTGTTACACCGTACTTGCTCCATATATACGAAGAATCCTAGATCTGAATGCCCCTTTCTAGGGTTTAGATTTAATAGATTTTGATTTACATGGTTAATTCTTTAAACAGGGCAATTTCATTCACGAAATCTAGCGGGGGAGGGGGTCCACCTGCCGTCAATCCAATATCGCATGGCGACCCAATTTTTTTTATCCTACTCTATATGAGATATTAGTCAAAATTCATGGCTTTTTAATAAAAGCAATTCTTAGAAAAATAGTTTCAAAAATAAAACCCTTTTGGTTCAACTTTACCGGAAGTTACGTAAAGTCATATGATTTCAGAGTTCAGATAGATCAAGTAACGCAACGCTTACTTGACTATTCAGAAGCCGTCGACATGTGGAGTGTAGTTTCTGCCAAGTGCTCGTGCTTTCAGTCTCTGTAATGTCGTGAATTAATACTCCTATAACGGCCAAATTCTCCGATCGGTATGTATAAAGTTGACTTGAAACTTAAGGGTTTAATTTTGAAGGGTTTTTTAGAGTCAGTCAGCCATTAATACGGTTGATCTTAGTTCTTGTCTTTGGCTGTCTGTGGGAGGCCTGTAGTTGTAGCAGTCTTGTTGCTTTGTCCTTTCGATGATTGCATAACTAAATCGTCTTAATTCTAGATCTTTTGGATAGTTTATTCACCTTCAAGCAAGGAAAAAAATTGTTATTTTGCTTAACTTAAGGTTTCTTTTCGATGGTGGTTGTGTTCTCGTTGTCGACTTGCCTTTTTTGACGTGTGTCCATCTTGCGCAACCTCCTCTTCTATCACAATGATTTATTTAATCCTTAATTCCCTTCCCAAATTTTAAAAATGGTGTTTATACAGGTAAATCTAACTTAAATAATGTTCTTTATAAAACAACAAGGCTATATTTTCGTTCACTTCCATATATACTCGCTACTCGCACTCGCAGTGTCTTTCAATAAACTGCTATTAATTATAATCGCTGTTATAATATATACATGTATAACCATTGTAGCTCTTATAAATATAATTATATATACGTGATTTGAATTCTTGATTGTAGTCATCCTACATCTAAAATCGTATTTTTTATTACCGGCTAAAAATAATTCTGAAATGGGTCTAAACAGGTTGAATATTTTAAGCAGATCGCGATGATCGCGCGATGATGTACTGTGGTGAGATGACATATACGCGACCCTATGAAAAATCATAGTTCAAAGTTTATCCGTAACAAAAGACAGAAACTTAGGCGTYTGGTCTGCATGCTAATCACATTTTGATGACTACTTTACACATGCAATAATTGTCAGAGGTACATCATGGGTTTGCATAATCAAACTAAATACCTTAAAAAAAAGAAAGTAATATTATAAAGCAATATRTATTTCCTACACGTAGCGCTATTTTTTCAGCGATAAAAATAGGTCATCGTAAAGTCATTTCTTTTAGTTATTTCTTTGCGACTCTGCTATGAGCTGTAAGAATGTCTTGTCTTCAATTCTGGATTAACAATAACTTTAACTTTAATTCAATAACTTGAATCTTTGAATCAAAGTCTCAAAGGACTACTTTGATGATATCGTGGCCATCTTACCAGGGGTCAAAACGAAACAAAGATGTCGATAAAATATAGAGTCTTGTGTGTTTGTTTTTCTGTTATGTGTAAAGGTGATTGATGTGCCATCTTAATTCATGTTTTGTTSTACTGTATTCTCTTGTGGTGAGCTGTTAATATCATCGATCAAGACCAGTTTTTACAATGACTTACAAATTTCTCACACGCTGATTGGTTATTTTTTAGACAGACAGAAAGCTGATGTCAACGAGTGCAAGCTCTTTCCGTTAGTTGTTTTGATCACTAAAAATGAGAAGTTTTTATCGTTTTTGTTATTGTAAAAAACAAATAGACATCAGTTTTTTGTGTCTGTCCTCTACGCCTCATGGATCCACACTACTTTRACAATGTGATGTCTATTTGTTAAATGTAAGCAAAGTTTTATTTGTTCCCTGGACATCCCAAAATGCCTTGCAATCCAAGATGGCAACTGTATCATCAAAGACTCCATTGGAACGACTATACATGTTACATACAGGGACTATATACCCGATAAAGACATCCTCATTAATATGCTAAGTTATGTAAAAAGTACTAATGAGAAGAAGAACTACAAAGTTTTTTGAAGCTGTTTAATAAACTCGCAGGTTTTGTTTCATCAGGGACTAGACTGTACATGTGAAGGGTACTTTTCGATTGACCTTTATGAGCATGTACCTTCATACCTTCTAGTGATAATATTACAATGTGTAAGCTATTTTTTTCTCTAAAGCAGAATTAAATTTATTCTGAGTCTTTCAATTTGCAGCTGCATAAGTTGCTTCATAAATGTACTGCGAGGATCAGCTCAATTTGATACATTACAACCGCAGTACAAATATATATTTCATATATATTTTCATACACAAGCAGAATTAYGTCAATCAGTTTAGCAGTATTACTATTTGTATCTTGTGCAAGACACCGTGTTGGATGTGTCAGTGTTCATATTTCCTCTCTAAAATATTGAARGGAGAGAACCACCTTCTGCTTCTTGAATGACACTATTTATTAAACAAGTATTATAAAGATGCTTTGGCATAGTGAATTATTTAACGTTAGTTGTTTTAAAGGTGCTTTGGCATAGTTAATTATTTTATATAATAATGTTAGTTGTTTTAAAAGTACTTCTTCTTTTATGTCAACGATAGCTTTTATTAGCATCATTATTGCATGATCTGAAATGAGAAAATGTTGGATTTTATTTATGATTGTAGCAATGCTGTGCAGATGTACCCAGTTTTAACAGGTTTTTTTYTTCTTTTTGTCTTTCAAAGATTTCCTTGTACATGATTTTTTAAACTTTTGAGCTCAAAAATGGGTCAGGATCACGGAGATTTTTATAATTGGTTCTGGGATGAAAGCATTTGGCTTCCTAAAATAACCTCTTGGGAAAAGATCAAATCTAACCGCTTACCTATCATTGAAAACCTTGGAGGCGTATACTTGTGTGTTCCAGTTGCGATTGGGATGATGATTCTACGATTTGTATTTGAAAGGTTGGTATTTTTGTTCTTTCCAATATCATTATGCATTGCAAAAGATACGTAACTGCTAGTCATCCGACATTATCTGGACAGAATTGGAACTTGTCCAGTCAAACCTTTGCCTTTCTGGTTATTTTGCCTTAGAACCAGTAGTGTTACACCAGGAACAAGGTTCCATTGAGGAAAATTATTATAATTATAATAAATTATTGTTATTATATTGCTTGCCTTTGACAACTGCTGATGTTCAAAGGCTTGAGATGAAACTGAAACAGCTCAAGAAGGATTTTATAGACAGTTTATATAGCTTATAGACATTTTAYAGAGTGCAAATAATATACCTGTGAAATAGATAGCTAGCTAACTAATTACTAACCTTTGGTTGCCTAAGTTAGTTAAAATAGATGACGGGTAAACTAGTGCATGTGTGCTACTCAAGGGCATGCAGTTTTAAATATTTTTAAACGCATTTACAAAAACTGAAACTATTTTGTTGTACATGCTTTTCCTTCATATAATTTGACATGTTCGCATTTTTGTATCTATTCATTTGCGTATTGAGTTGTTACTCAAGTAAATGCCCGTGCCCTTGTCTTGCATCACCGAATTYCTATGTTTTGTCTAATAAGTGCTAACTATCTCCTATTTCATCCTAACTATTTCACGGGTATGTTATTTGCATTCTATATGACAGTTTTTTCATTAAGCTCTTTGTTTAAACTTGCAGTGTTATTGCAAGGCCCTTTGTGATTTGGCTGGGTGTGAAAGGAAAGGATACAGTTAGTGTTGTTCCAAATGCTGCATGTGAGAAAGCATTTAAAGCAAGCAAGCACCCTAATGCCAAAAAGATTGCAGAACTGTCAAAACACTTGGAATGGTCTGAAAGAGAGGTCGAAAGATGGTTCCGTCAGCGCCGCACCATGGAGCAATATACTGTTCTAAAGAAGGCAAAGGAATGCAGGTAAAGCGTAATTGTTCTCGCGGATGAACAGTACCTACTTTTAATTTTGAACTCTTTTTTTTTTGTTTTTTGTTTTCTTTTTTGTTTTTTTTTTCTTTTTCTTTTCTTTTCTTTTCTTTTTTTCTTTTTTCTTTAAACTTGTTAAAACATACTATCGGGTTGATTATAAGGTAGAATAGACCATCCCTGTTTGGCCAGACCATCACTCACACCCTACCCCTCTATGCCCTCACCATCAAATTATTTTTCCTCCCATTCATTTCTCACATTTACCAGTATTTATTTATTTGTTTCTCTTTTACTTTCAGTTGGCGCTTCATATTTTATTTTTCTGCCACAGTTTATGGAACTATTATTCTTGCAAAGGTATGTGAATGATCTTTGTCTTTATAAAATTTAAAGAAACTTTAATTAATTGTCTCTGGAGGTTTCATTAGAAGGTGACTGCCACATTTGATCAAGAGTTATTTAACCTCTCACTGATCAGCAAAGACAATAAATAATAAAAAAGTAAAATTTCTATAAATCTATGCTTTTCAACCATCATCAAAATATAGGTTGTAGGGATGTTATTGGACTGAAAATCCTATCTAAATTACTTTGTTTGTTACATCACTCATCACTCATGATGTTTCCACCTTGCAGCAAGGATGTCTGTGGGATCTGAAAGTGTGTTTCATTGATTATRAGAACCATGTAAGTGAACTAAATGATGATATATACCATAAAACCTGAACCACAACCCGATTAGCTCAGTTGGTAAGAGCGTCGGTCTGTTGTGCGGGAGGTTGTGGTTCAAGCCTCGGCCAGACCAACACTCAGGGTCTTAAAATAACTGAGGGTGAAGGTGCTGCCTTTGTAATTATAACTGCAAATGGTTAGACCTTCAAGTCTTCTTGGACAAGGACTTAAAACCGTAGGCCCCTTCTGTCTTCACTATATAACCCTGTATAAGGGGGACGTAAAAGATCCACTGAAGACGCTGGTGATGACCATCGTGCTAAAAATCTACAGGGCCCACTGTAATTGGCTATGCTGTTTTGGTGTCCCTGCCCTCATGGGGAAAAAGCTAAATAAAGGGCCGAGCATAATAAATATGCTCAGGAATAATTATTATTGCCGCATAAACTTACAAAAATGAAACAAATCATATTTTTTCAGTCACAGTTCTTCCACCTCAGTGTGAGGGATTATTGATTCAGAAGAAATGGGTTGTGTTCAGTGGATGAATAAAATTATTTACATCAAAGAAGCTCATGTTTTATGAGAGCACACAGTATGCATGTGTGTGCACTTTCAACTGGATATTCCTATCCAAAATAATGGTTATTGTAATTTTTATCTTATAAAAGAAATAAAAAACTTGGTTGATGTGCTGTGTGAAGTTGTATAGCACTTGGGGATTGGCAGAACACTCAAGAAGTGTCGAGAAGCACTTCGCTATGCGTCATGCTTCTCCTGACACTTCTCTCGTGTTCTRCCAATCGCCAAGTGCTATACAACTTCAACTTTATGCACTTGTTRGTAGGATTATTCCAGAGTTACTTGATCATTATATTTTTTATTCAATTTCTCTAATTTTTGTATCGGATCGTAGGTGATGGGCTTGGATCTTTACATCTATTACTTGGCAGAAATTGGAATGTATATCTCTCTGTCTGTTTCCCAGTTTACAGATGTCCAGAGAAAGGTATGAATTTCTTCAATTCTTTAATGCTGCAATTTTCGAAATTACGCAAAGTCAATACTTGCATAATTGAATAGAATCATGATAAGAAATAAATAAAGTATTAAATGGGAATAAATTAATAGTAGTTACACTGTGCAATTTTCAAAAAAATTACGCAATCGGAATAGTTGCATAATTGAATAGAATCGAAATATGAAATAAATAAAAAATATTAAATGGGAATTAGTGTGGTCACTCTGAGCAGCTCTTCTTCCACAGTTTGCATTCCAATTGGAATTTAGAAGTTGATTTTTATTGAGGGAGGAAAAACCAGAGAACCCGGAGAAAAACCCTCAAAGCAAAGGAGACAACCAACAAGCCACTGCACTCACATATGATGCTGAGTCCTGGAATCAAATCCGGGTCGCCCTTGGTGAGTGGCGGGCGCTCTCACCGCTATGTGATCCATGCTTCCCAAAAATGGGATATCTTGCCCCTTACCAGTAATACGGTGAGAAATTAAACAACCTCATTCTTCTCAGTAGTCGCAAGTTGTCCATTCAAATGTAGGTCTTCACTTTGGCCAGTAAAAATGTTAAATTTATTGACTAACTAATATAATTTTGATTGACTGCAATGAAGTAGTAAAAAAAAACAAATTTCATTGTGCAGCTCACGGATATCATTCTGCATAATATTGAAAACTTAATTATAAACATATAATGAGTTCAGCGAAAAGATGTTTTTTGGGGATAGGCTAAGTCAATGTAAGATAAATTTCTTTCAAATATTGATACTTGTTTTTTTAGGATTTCTGGCAAAATTTGGTCCATCATGTGGCAACGTTAATTCTTCTCCTGTACTCATTTATTGGAGGATATTTCAACATCGGTGCTATCATTGTCTATACTCATGATATATCAGATGTTTTCTTGGAGGTRTGTACAGTGATAAATAATAGTGCAACCAAAGCTATGTACAGAGAAAGGTTTAAAAGATTGTGAGATCATTGTTAATCAAACCTAGGTTTTCATTTCATTTTCGATTCCTTTTCACTAATTTTAAAGAATTTTTTAATGGTYAACTGACGTTTCACATTTGCTGTAAACGAGAAGCTTAACCTCTCTAATATCTTTGTTTTTGATCTTATCTGTATTTTTAATCATTTTAGTGTCAAAAACATATAAAATATAAAATTGCTAGTGTTGACGTAAAGTTTTACAGTTGACTCTCTTTGAATGACCACTCTCGTAAGCGACCATCGCCCGCTTGGATCACCTTTTGAAATTCCCGTTTTTTCCCCCCATATGAACTCTGTAGAAAAAACTCTCTCATAAGCGACCAGTCTCGTAAGTGACCGCGACCAACTTTGGGGTTAAAATTTTGGAATTTTTCATTGATTTCCCTCTCCCATAAGCGACCACCCGAGAGCCACTAATGGTGACAGATCCTTTAACAATAAAAAAATTAAGAACATAGAGTCATCGGGTATTAAAAACCYGACGAAATATTGACAATTACAGTACTGAAAACATATAGCACATTCAAGGTTTTGATTAAAGCAGTTTAATCTTTGATATAGTAGTTTTAACATGTGAGTTACAAATTATAAATGGTTTAGGCTTCTTGTGTTTGGGATTCTCATTGTTTGGGCTTTCTGTGTTAACTCTCTAGTAAGCGACCATCTCCCGTAAGCGACCACTTTTTCCTGGCCCCAGGGTGGTCGTTTACGGGAGTCGACTGTATTAAATGCTTTTTCAGTAAGACAAAGTGGAGCATTTAAAAATTGCATTAGTGTGGGAATGGCCTTACATTATCTTGCCTTGCAGACAGTGAATTTACCAACTTCATAGCCACACTGGCCCCTTGGAATATTGATTGTGTTATCCTCATACATTATATTTTTATTCTTTAGGCTGCAAAAGTGTTCAAGTATGCCAAGCGTCAAAAGATCTGTGATGTATGTTTTGTTGTATTTGCGGTGGTCTTTTACATAACAAGACTCGTTGTATTACCTTTTAGGTAAGAGATACAGTTTATATGTRTTCTTATTAAACTCATTAATAATTCATGAGGAAAACACAAGAGTTTTGTGAATCAGATACAGAATCCTGTTCATTTGAATAAACTTTAAGATGGATTTTCTTGGCCAGATTCACTCTTTTATCTTGAAAATTTTAGTGAAACTCAAAGGAACTAACCTAAATGTTTGATAAGTAATCTTGATAAGTATGAGTGGCTGTGTTGTAGCCAATATACAAACTCTCGGCTATGCCTCAAGTTTGTATATCGGATACAACAAGGCCACTCATACTGTATATATTACTTATTTCTCAATTGACACGGTTTTCTTTGTTATTCACAAGGCTTTATTCTTGTTATAACCCTCATTATAAATGCRAGGTCAATATATAGTTAGTTATTAACCCGGTTAATAACTATGTATAGACCATTYGCATTTATAATGAGCAACATTTGATAGAAAACCTTCTCAATTGATAAATAAAATACTTAATTGAACGTCGGCAATAAGCCTATACATATGTATATGGCTTATTGCCTCCGTTCTCGGTAATTAACTCTTACTTATATAGTCTGACCTCTTTCATAATGTGAGATTTTAAAATCTGGAAACTAGATCTTCTATCGYTAAAATAGCCTACGCCATCAGAAAGAGCACTTCAAGATCAATGAATGTAGGAAATTTGAATGCATGTCATATCAGCAAAACTCTCCAAGATATTGGAGTTCAAATTTAGAAAGTTGTCTGTGGATTTTTGAGAYCTTTTTGGCCTCATGCGATGACGTATTCTCACATATTAGGAGTCTTTTAGCCCTTAAGCAATTTTTTATACCTTTCAATGTGTCATAGGCAATCTTACAAAAAAGATAATTTCGAGAATGACATGTGGTCTTAAATTGGAAAAAATTATGCCTAATGTGTATATGGCTTTTTGGAAAAGTCGTTGGGATGGATGGAGAAAAAGGGAAAGAGTGAGAAAGCTGAGGAGGGAGGAATTCAAAGAAAGACAGGGAAGAAATGGAGAGAGGAAGGGAAGGAATGAGTAAAAGAAAAAGGGAAAGAATGAGAAATCTGATTAGGGAGGAATTCAAAGAAAGAGAGGGAAGAAATGGAGAGAGGAAGGGAAGGAATGAGTAAAAGAAAAAGGGAAAGAATGAGAAATCTGATTAGGGAGGAATTCAAAAAAAGATAGGGAAGAAAGGGAG